TAATTGACATTCTGAACCCAAGAAATAATTACGGGTCAGAAATGCATCTTTTCTTATACAAAGAAAGAATATAGAGGAATGGTTTCTAACCAAAGTATTTGCAGCCTTGTCAGGAATCTAAATAAAGCATTAATAACTCAGTACTCCACCTCCAGAGGAAAGCAGTTTAAAATGCACCTTCGAGATGTCTGATCAGAGACTCAGCAGCAATACATTTTATCGATTCATTAGCTTGCAGCAGTCCTATGGCAAGTTAGCATCTCCTTGTTCTTCAGTATCTAAGTTTGCTCCACATACAGAAAACGGGTTGAGATTGCTAGCTGTTGAATTTCAGAAAATGTCTAGAAAAGTCCAACCTCTTCACTATAAAATCACTGGACACTGCAGGAGTAAAGAGATTACAACAGGGTCAGGCTTCCTTAACTGCATGTTGAGAAAGCTCCCAGTTTGGGCATTCCTCTGGTTGGTAATTCCCTGCTCTAGTGCAGAATCTCTGACATCAGTGAAGAAGCGGCCCTGTCCGTGGTGCTTGGTCACAATACTGCACCACCAGGGAGACTGCTGTGCTTGAGACAGCTCTGGAGCATCTGGTCACAAAACACCAAGACCAAAAGGGCTAGAAAACAAAATGAAAACACAACAGACAGCAATCCAACAAAAGAAAAAGTTGAAACAAAGGACTCACACTGCTGCCAGCAAAGACGTATTAAGACAACAGGGCTTCCACCTGAGTCTTCAGAGCTGTCTCAACAGCAACTGAATTAAAACAAGCCTCTTCCAGAGCAATGTTTAATACTTAGTATCATTCTTTAGTGCAAAGGCTGCTCCATAGGACCTCCACTAACAAAGTGCCTTCTTCCTACATAAGGGCTACACATCACTGCCCAGTGATGGATCATTGCGTACCTATAAAGGTTGTTAACCAGGGAACTTGCGCTGCTCCAGCAGCATTGCTTCAGACTGAATGGCTTCTGAAAGAAGCAAAGAGCAAAGACCTTGCTTACTCAAGTTACACAAAGCCATGATGCTATCTGTTTGTGGATTTACCCTACTGCATAAAGAGGGCCCATTCACAGCCAGCAGATTCCTGTCTCCCACCTCCAAGTGGGTATTTCCGACCCTTCCCTTTTAGGCCTGAACATTAATACATCTTATCTGCCACATGGATCATTACTATCCTTAAGCAATCTGAAAAGCAAAGTACACGTAGCAATGCCATGCACTAGCAATGGTTTGGTCCTATCACAAAGCTTGACAGTTTCTCTGAACTACACAAACAACTAAATGAAAAGCATGTCCCACTCCAAATCAAAAATCATGGGAAAGTCCAAAAAGTGCACTGGAAGAGCTAACCCCTACTGGAATAGGAAGCAAATTATACCTGTTTAGCTGCATCTTACCTAGTTACAGCCACGACATATACACATCATTCTATTGTTGAGTCCTTTACCAGGCACAACAGAACAGAAGACTTCATCTCTTTCAGGAGGGGTTCTGCCTCTTTAATCCCAAAATTAAAGTAGTTTTAACACCAGTGGCTTCTCAGATGTGAACTAATGCGAGAAGTGGCTATTTTCAGAAAGTCTGACCCGCACCTTCCCTGAGTGTCTTTTATATCCAAAGATGTAGAACTGGCTAATACTAGAGTTTACAGGTATCTTGCTTTGCTGTGTAAAGTCCCTACATTATAGGCTGACAGCAGAGGCCATTGAAACTACTACGTGAATATAACCTGAAATCCTGCCCGCACTTAGCATCATAACAACCTCTTTATGGCAAGATGACCTAAGTGTCTTGGAGAGGTACAAAGGCAACAAGCAGGTGAGCATTATTTGAAGAGACCAGAAATCTCTTGCAGCCAACTTTTCACTCATAATCTTTGTGTGGGTTATTTTCATATCATGAGAAAGTGTAATAACTTAAATTACATACCGAAGAGTCTAGATGCTGTTCCAAAAAATGCCCCTATAGACTATCTTGCCCATCCAGACTGTTTGCACCATTATGTGGGAGAACTCTTGAGACTGGAAACAAGAAAATATTTGCTCTCCAAGCACAGCTCTGATAAAAAGGCCCTTAAGTCAGAGGAGAAGGCTTACTGTACACATCTTAACTGTAGTTCTTCCAGCTGAGCAAGGGAATAATACTGCCAGATTATGACAGCTGTTCTCACCCATAGGATGGGGTACAAATTACTTGTTTCTCAGTGGGGAAAAAAAGAAACCAACCTCAAACTTTTATTCAGAAAATAATTTGATCTTAGGTTCCAGAAAGGACATACCTACATAACAGACCACAAACTAAACTATTCTTATATTAGTGATAAAACCCAGTCTAACAGCACATTGCATTGTTTTGAAAATAAGACCATTAGGAGGAAAACACATGGAGGCATCATAGGACTTTCATTAGACATTATGAGCTGGGCAAGCATCCATGGAAAAATATAAAATTATTTAGCTGGATTTTCCACCTAGTTAATCAGTCCTGAAGCCAATGGAATCATTGTATAATTAAGCAGATTTCTCTAAAGAGCTCATAACAGTTCACACTGCTTTAATAACCTGCTTGTGTGTCAGAGAAGCTGAAGAAAACAAAGTTTCAAGACTGAAAGGAAAACTTAAGAAACACGTTCTGAGTATCAAGCAGTCTAGGAAATATGAAAATTGATAACAATATTTAACATTGCAGTGGCGACAAAGTCACTGGTATTTTATAGCATTGAACTATTGTATCTCATTAGTAAGCAGCTTGACCATATTTTCATCTCAGTTTTGAAGTAAAAAGCATATGAGCATGTGGTATGCATAAAAATTACTTGCTCTCATGTAACATATTAGTCAATGTATTATAAAAGATACTAGTAACTTGAATAATTTAAAGTGCCACCTTTAACTAAAGAAACTATGTATATAATCCTGTGTTTAGCAAGAAAAAAGCTAAAGAAATCTTGCCTGAAAAACTGCAAGAAGACTAATTATATACTTAAGACGACTTATACCTTTCATTGTTTCTATGGATCTCTAACAACACATATACAGTGGTAAACTTCCACTTTTTGAGGGTATAAGAAACTTCAGTTATTGCAGTTATAGGCATAATGCTGTACTAAACATTATTATAAAAGGATAATCATTTAGTTATTAGAAGAGTAGACTACCAGCACAAAATCAAACTGATAATTAAGGACAACAATGACATCTAGTGGACACTCAGAAAACAGACTCGTAGCCTAACAAGGAAAAGATCCAGCTGCTCTTACTGTCATATGACATGCAACTCCCAAATTGCTACAATGCTATTAAGAAGATTAAAAGACAGAATTTGCAGCTGATGAAAGTCAAAGTAATGTGATGATTCATTTATTTCAAAAGAATATCTAATTAAAGAAAAGTCAAGACCCTTCCATTTAAGATTCAGGATAAAAGTACAGGTCAAAACTGGAGAGAACATCACAAATCATTGAAAGTATATAGATAGATACATAGCACCAACATAATAGATGCATACATGTTTACTTTCTATTCCTACTGCATCTACAACTTTCTATTTGTAAGTTGCTCTTGTTGGGACTTCAAACACCGAATAACAAAGTGAAAACAACAAAAAAATCTCAAAAGTAAAAATTCAAAGCATTATTTAGCACCTCCATTTTCTCATCATTCTGATCTTCTGTTATTGTAATGCCTGCCATATAAGGGAGGTAAGTTAAACCTTCCCACTATATCAGTCAATAGCTGCTGAGCTCCAGAGAAGATGAGTCTCAAACATGAGGCTATAGGAACTCAAAATTAGCAAAAAAACCTTCCTACTCATGAGTTACCTGATTAGTTTACAAGGCTTTTACTGTTTACTAAAAGGCTAGCAAAAGTAAGCAGTTAAAGCAACTCAAATCTGATTTCAGTTGTTCCATCAAGGAAATGTTTTTTGGCTACGAGCGTCACCATGAAAAAATATGGGGTTTGACTTTTGTAAATAAAAATTTATGTCCCATTCCAAGCCTTAAGCATCAAATGTCATATCCATATCCAGAAATGGAAATTGGTTTTTGCATTATATTGTTAAGAACAAAAATACTGCATCGCTTCCAAAATTTCTACATCTCAGTGACTGTCCAGTATAAAAAAAAGCATTGCAAAATACTAGAAACTATATTCAAAAGTAAAACACTTCTGAACACATCTGATTATAATTTACATTAGACTTCCAATTTAAATTGGTATCTTGCATGCTTTGTGCATGATTTTGGAAAAGTTGGCGTTGTAGTTCCCCTAGCTCTCACCAGCAGTAGTGGCTTGTCAGCTATCAGCAACTATGTAACATTCTCACTTACATGAAGACTCTCTATCCAGTAGAATACAAAGAAACCTTTGCACAACTGATTATCAGGCCTTGTGTCCCAATTTGTTTGCTAGGGTCTCAAAAGTGAGCTTGAATCAGATGTTACTAGTTAACAAGAGTACATGCAGCCTGCCAAAAATGAAATCCAAACTCCAATGATATTTATGCACCATACACAACCATAACTAAAACCTGTAGTTTTAAATTTTGATTCCTAGTGGGACTCAATAGCTGAGCAACCCATTCATGAAAACTTGAATTCATGCCTTTTTTTGGTTTTTAAGTCTAAAAATGCAATATTTAAAAACTAAGTCTCCCTTTTCATGTTTGCAATGCATAGGGTTTGCAGATATTTGAAGTGAGATCCAAGTTTAACCAACGCTAAACAGCCCTGTTCTGGAAAACCCCACTCTTGATACATAGATCCTGTAATGGAATAAAGTCTGTTATAACCATGTCGGTAACAGAGCCTGATAAAAAGAGAAACCAGCCTAGTAAATCTACAAGATAAAACTAAAAGCAAACATCAAAATAAACCCAGCCATTTTCCCCTCTCAGGCACAATGCTGTATTTTACCTCCAAAACCAATTTTACTACATCAGACGTTCTAATGAGAGAGGACTATTTTAAGACAGAAAGCAAAGCATCATTGACCTACCCGGATTTCCTGGAGATTATGAAAATTATTGCCTACTCTGACAGAGATTTTGCTCGGAGTGTAACTTTCATCAGATTTGTAGTCTGCATAAATACATAATGTCTTCACTGTTGTTTTTCTTCTGCAAGAAGCAACAAAAGCTATGTAAGCATAGTAAAGAAAATATTCAGGGCGAGTTTGTTGCTAGTTTGTAATAACTAAGGATTTACACAATTCTAAAACTTAATACCAGTGTGTCTACTGATTTACAAGAGCCCCACTGTTAAAGTAATAAGGTTTTTTCACATTGTTATGCAGAGAGTTGATTTTCACTGTTCTCCGTCTGCCATCAGAAGTGTCAGTGTACCAAAAAAATACAACAAAAGGCCAGGATGCCAAATAAGCACTTGTACGTAATGAAGCGTATCTTTAGCTTATCAGATATGGGCTATATTACTATACCAAAGAGTTCTCTAGAAAGCAAATTAAAAAAGGTTACAAACATCTAACTTGATCTTAAGAGTTTGGTTAAAGAAAAAGGACTGAAAGTATCCTACACAGAATAGAATAGGAAAAGGTTTCTCAATCAGTTAAGTCATACAGGACTACCTTAAAAACAGCCATCTACCCTTCAAATTACACTCAAAGACAGAAAGTCAGGACACAGATGTCATCTTAGGTAGGTAAATGTGAAACTGTTACAAGTGACACACTATTAAACATTCCTTTTTATTGCTTATTTAGGTATTTAGTAATCAAAAATATAAAATCTCAATTTCATAAATGCTATCTAACTGGCTTCTTACCAGCTGGTAACAGGATTAACCCAGGAATCCTTGCACTTCCAAAATTCCTACCTTGGTGAACAGTAATTAATAAAGTTACACAAAACACCCTAACCCATACAGAGTAATTTTTAATACCTAAATTGGATGTTCACCAAATGAGGCTGTGATCCATCTGACTGCCAGTAAGTTTCTAGATTATCATCTCGCAACTGATCCACTCCAAATCCTAAGAAAAAGAAAATGTGATAGCCTTGAATATCCCATTTCTGTGATGCAGACATCACAGACATAACTTTTCTTCAGCTATTAAAAAACAAAATGTGTATCCTAAGTTATAACATATAAGGAAATATTTCTAGAAATCCAAGTTGTGCCTATGTTGTGCCTATGATTTTGTGACACAAAACAGAAACAGGGGAATCTGTCAATCAAAGCTCAATACTTGAGTATCTTTACAATCTTATCTCCCATTGAAGTCTGTGGGGTTTGAACATGTCTTGGACATATTCAACATGTCTGGGAATTTCAAATGATTAAGTAGTAATTCATGCTAATTTCAAGAACAATACTTAATGGTTAGGCTTTTCCACCTATTTTATAATCCAACTGCTGAATTAAAGGAAAATCATTAGCAGAGACCATTCATTTATTATAAAATTTTAGCAAAGTATAACATTTTCTTTTCAAGTAGTCTCCTGAAATATTTTTACTTTTTCAAGTTAGTAGCTGTAACAAGCAATAGATGCCAAAAACGGTATTCCTGAAAGTTTATGCTGACACATTTAAAGAAACAACTCCAAATCTTTAGCCTTCCGTTCAGCCTGAGCACAATATTGTGACGTAAAGGGATCATTGACTCTAGGCTGCAGCAAGATACCAGATCAATTCCCAACAGATGTTCCTGAAATAGCAACTCAACCACCTCAATGAAAAGAATACAGGTTTTCAGATATTTTGAGCAGGTATAAGCTATCATTAACTGCACCTCAGCATCATTTACGATAGTTTCATTTTACTTGCAGAATTTTAGGGAGCTAGGCTATAGCTGTTGAGTCCACACAAAGTTTGGACAAAACACTCAAGCTGCCCAGCTGCACGGTTTTTCTAAGTTAAAAATTGAAGATACCCAGGCAAAATGCCAAAGCATAGAAACAATTACACAGTGCTGAGGGTGTTTCCACTCACATGGTCTAGTTTGTTGACTGTGCAAGTAAAAAAACCAATTTAGTGTAAAGTCAGTAAAATATCTGTTTTGTTAATACGAGATATTTCTTCATGGTAGGATTTCTGATATAGTTACAACTTTCATACTGCATCAAACATAGACTAGGCCAAAATTATTTGTAGTAGCTACCCATACAGCTTACACTACACCAGTTTTACCACTACACTCAGTATGTGTGTCTTCTTATCAAAACATAAAACATTATATACTTGAAGAAAAATGTACATTCAACTTTTTACACCATTTGTTGTGATTTTACCTGGCTTACAGGATGAAAGAGACCAAACTGCTTGTGAGCCTATTTCTCTAACAGTACCAGTCCTCTCTAACTGCTTTGGATCAGCACCAGGTGGTGTCTTGTTTGGGGTAGTCATTTCTAGTAAAAGAAAGCAAATGAGTTAGTTGATGCATTTTTAGCTTGATGGGACAATTAAAGGGTTGTATTTGTTCATATAGATGCTTTAATTCTTTGGCCTCACACTTGTATAATAGTCTGCAGAATATGTGGTTTATACATATACACGTATACATTTTTGCATGCCTGTAGAACCTTTTATTTATATATAATAAAATAATAGATATAAAGTAAAAAAATAAAATATCTTTAAATAAGAGGTTCCAGATGCATTTAAATTTTGTGTCCTTCATCCAATACACACACGGAACATTCATAAGACAAGTTTTGTTTGTATCATTCCAATTCATACATAGAGTCAGGGTTTCAGGATTTGGTTTTTTTACAGTTTTGTTTCGTTGTTTTTAAGAAAATAAAACAGACCCTGTTGATTTAAAGGCTATAATACAACTTCATTGGCACCCCACATACACTTAAGAGTTTTCTTAATCTACAAGTTCAGAAGCCTAATCAGAAGCTAGATCAAGCCTGAAGATACTTCTCCTTAGAAATAGGAAATGAGAGTTCAAACAAATTGTGTAGTCCCTAAGTTGGTAGGGATTGGTTATTGCCACATTTATCCATGGTCCATTTCTTTAACTTCACAACTTCACCTGGAATCATTAACCTGTGAGTTGCACTGCTCAAGTAATCACACTCAGTCTCAAAACCCAGGCTACTGCCATATATGCTACAACATTATCATGTTGGTTTTCATTTAGTATAGAGCACCTTACTACTTTCTAGGAAGTAGCTTAAAAGACTTTAAAAAAATATTCCAAAGAATCGTAAGTTACATGCAAGGAACTACATTAAAGCTTAAAAATTACATGTAAAGCACCCAAGAGTCAGGGAATTAGAATGACTTCTAATCCTTTGCTTACATCCATAATATCATATTATGCTCTGCTAAATCTCAGAAAAGGTCTTCCAGTACCTCTCCTAGATAGCAAATGAACTAGGCTGGTGGACACGACATCCAGACCTTACCCACTACAGAAGTGATACAAGGCAGAGACAAAGTTTTCTATGTAAGAATAACTCTGCAACTAAAAACTCTTTGTCAGACACAGAAAATCTGAATTCTGTAGTGTAAATCGCTATCTGCACCAAGCATTTTCTGTTGGCCTTTGCCTTTTTTTATGTTTGCAAACACAGGCGTCAGACAGATTTACAGGGGTTTTTTTCTACTTTCTCATATACAAGACTGCAGTCCTGACTACCATAAAGTAGAAATAGTTACCTGTGTAGTATAATCTAAGTATTGACAACAGGAAGTATCACAAAAGGCCACAAACAGAAAGCCTTGCTCAAACACCATCCTCTCAGAAAAGTGGGCTGAACACTACACAGCTAATCCTACAGATATCACACATATATTCACATAGCTCACAGATACACTAATCCTAATGCCATCCAATTAAAAAACCTTATCCAAAGATATGTTTTAAAGTCCTTGCCCATGCAGAAAAATTTCATTCAAAAAATATCGAACTATTAAAAAAATGCAACAGGCAATCCATTCAGCCATTCCTATAATGAGACTCTAGCACATAAATCTACCCTAGTCACTGTATTTAAATATCACATTATCTGTTTTAAAACTTTTATCTGGTATTTACAATAGGCTTTTTAAATTGTTCTCCACTGAATTGGCTACACCATAAACCTGTTAATATGTAAACAGATTATAGACTAGAAGAGAAAATAAGTAACTTACTCTAGTTGCTACTTAATACAACTTTGAATTTATTGATAGCAACTTCAATAAAACACAACTTCAAGTATTCTCATCTTCTAAGAATTTAAAGCAGTCCCAGAAAAAAAAATTACAAAACACTTAGTTCACAGCTACCAGAAGAACAAATATTTTTCACTGAATCACAGAGTGGTTTGGGTTGGAAAGGACCTTTAGAGACCATCTAGTCCAACCCCCTTCTAACATCAAAATTCAAATTACGTTTAGTAAGCAACGTGGAGACTATTTTCCTGTACTTACAAATTTCAAAGCTCAAATCACCTACTAGTCCAAACTCTGTGCTAGTTTGTTGCATTTCTGACGATGAACCAACTAAGAGAGGTTAGTTGCATTCATTTTAATGCTCAGATTTATACAGAAGCCAGCAATGCTGTTCTCCCCACCATTAAAAATATACATAAGAAAATTGAACTTCACAAAGTAAAGCTAAATTATTCCTCCAATACAAAACATCTCTTGAATATCATCACCAGCAAGTCTTCACACTCCTTTGTTATTTTGATTTAAAGAGAAAAATAACAAAAACCTCCAAATCTGAGTCACACCTTCATTCCTAAAAATATCTGTTGTCAGATTAACAAAAAACACAACCTTAAGACCTAGGGAGTATGCAAACATCCCGTTAAAACCCACCAAAATAAGGTAAATCACAGTGTCCTGGGTTTGGCTGGTATAGAATTAATTTTCTTCCTTGTATGGCATAGCTCTGTGTTTTGGATTTAGGATGAGAATCATGTTGATAACACTTGGATGATTCAGTGTAAGCACTGCTCAGCAACAGCTAAGTCAAGGAATTCTTCAGCTTCCCTGCTCTGCCAGGGGCACAAGAAGCTGGGAGGGGGCACAGCCAGGACAGCTGACCCCAACTGCCCAAAGGGCTATTCCAGACCATAGGACGTCATGCTCAGTATAGAAACCAGGGGGAGTTGGCAAGAGTGGGGGGCCAGTGATCTCTGCTCAGGGATGGGATGGGCATTGGCCAGCAGGTGGTGAGCAATTGCATTGTGCATCACTTGCTTTGTATATTCTCTTATCATTATTATTACTATTTTCCTCTGCTGTTTTATTAAACTGTCTTTAACTCAACCCACGAGTTTCCTCACTTTTACTCTTCTGATTCTCTCCCATCCCACTGGGAAGGAGTGAGCGAGCAGCTGTGTGGTGCTTACTTGTCGGCTAGGGTTAAACCACAACACACAGAAATTACACTGTAGACTCAGATTATCTCAGGAAGTGGATTACATGTGCTTTCCAGGAAAATTACTAGAATTGTATGCAGAATCCCTCAAGACAATGATGTTAAGATTTCTTCAAAGATTTGGCGCACACAGGGGAGTCCTAAAAAAAAACTTAACACTGTCAAGATTTACATTGCACTGGTTCACAAAAGTTTGAGGCATACATTTTGGGGATCTGAAACATACAGCAAGAAATGCCATCCAAGTTTCCTACTGTCTTAAACTGAGCCTGTTTCCTTCTATCTAACAGGCAAAGCTACTCAAGATCCAGACTTCAACTCCAAACCACTGCTGGCAAGTCAGTCAGCCACAAGTTGTGCATTAGTGATGTGAAAGACAGAAAATCTTTGAAGTTTGAACTAATGAGTTGATCGAGTCAGTTTTTCATGACAGAACTTCTGTTTTACCAGTTTAGTAACTACATTCTGGATAGTTTTGCTAACGCTTCCCAATATTCTAAGAATTTTAAAAGCAGAAAGCCAATAGTACTAAGGAAAAATAGTACAGCAACAGGCCAGCTCATTCAAGTAACACTTTTGGACATTTTACTAGCAGAAGTACAAGTACCTCATTTTGGACAAAACAAACACTTAACATTAAAAGTAATTTAAGTCCCCAAATAAAAAAAAAAACCCAACATTTTCTTAGCACAAGAAAATAATGGAATAAGAATTGTTTTTTCTTATCTTTTTCAGGCTGTGTAAACACAAGTAATCTGTCTAGAAGCCCGTCTCCTCGACAGGTGCTGAAAAATGGAGAGACACTGCATCTACAGAAGCGTTGGCTGGAAACACCTCCAATTTTCCAATGCAGTTATTCAAAAAGGTCATGAATAGGCTGCTATTTCCTTATTAACAACGTTAATATATTAATCTTAATGACATGATCAACATCACACTTTCAGTTTGCCACTTTCCGCTACATGGAATGCACATCCTTTGATCAAGACAAGAAGGCAGTTAAGCTTTTTTCCACCCCCTCCTTGAACTCTTGTTTAATATCTTTATCAATGACCTGGATGAGGGGATTGAGTGTGCCCTCAGTAAATTTGCAGACGACACCAAACTGGGTGGTAGTGTTGATCTGCTTGAGGGGAGGAGGGCTCCACAGAGAGACCTGGACAGGTTGGATCGATGGGCCGAGGCCAACTGCATGAGGTTCAACAAGGCCAAGTGCCGGGTCCTGCACTTTGGTCACAACAACCCCATGCAGTGCTACAGGCTTGGGGAAGAGTGGCTGGAAAGCTG